TATGGGAGCTGCAGTCGGGGAATGTTTCACTGTTGTTAATGATCTCAGATTCTTCAACGGCCAAACACACACACACAGAGCTTAAGACCCTCAGATGGAGATGAAAACACGTCTATGCTAATATCTGAAGACTCTCTGAGATAATGGTGCGGTGAGAAGTGTTTTTTGCATGTGTGTAAAAGATGAAGCTCTCGGGGAAAAAAGCGAGAACAAGAAACAAAGAGGGAATTAAGCGGGGAGTTTTTTTCAGCGTCTTGTTTTGCTGAGAGAAAACAAGCTCACAAATGGTTTACGCTTGTCAACACTTGTTTCGCCTCAAGCGCTGGGAATGGACAAAAAAGCTGAAATCTGAATCCGTTTGATTGAAATTGTGGGGGAAAATCTTACTGTGAAATAAATGTTTTTCTTGAATACGCAGTGGGCAAAAATATTGGCACCCCTAAAAACTCAAGTGAAAAATCTCTAAAATAGAATCCGTTCATATTTACAGTTTTTCATCCATCAGGATGGGATTTTTCACTTGAACACAAAAGAAGATATTTTGTCGCTTTCGACAAAAACGTCTGCTAAATGACTTATTTTAATGTAATTTCCATGACTTTTCCAAAACCTTGTGGGTTTTTTTGTTTTTCCAAAACTTTTCCAGACCTGGAAAATGCCATGTAAATATTCCATGACTTTTACAGGTTTTCCATGACCGTATGAACCCTGTTAATAATAAGATAAAAACTAAAGCAGTAAAAAAAGGGTATTAATCAAGAATTTCCCATCAAATGGAGATTTCTGGTCAGTATAAAATATGTTTTAGGGGGTAAGTAATTTTTGCAGTTTTTGCATTCGTGAATCCACCAGAAGCTGCTTTGTAAGCTTTTTCAGATCTCAATTTTCTCTCGCGAGTGCCATTCGTGCCTGCTGTTCTCACATAAATCCACCAGAAGCTACTGTTTTCTGACTGACCGGCCAACTGATCTCCCCACCCACCTCCTTCCCTAAACCCTACCGAAAGTGTTTTCAAAAGCACCAAGTAACCTAATCGCCCACTTCCTTATACCCAACCGACAGTGTTTTCAAAAGGAATCCAGAAAAAGGCCCTCATGGCCTCCTAATTTTTACCATATTTTCAGATTTTACCACGTTCTCACCCTGCTATTTACTTGTTTATTTATTTTTTTCTTTTGCTTATATTAACCTGCTTTATGGTACAGCTTTTTGTTGAACTCAAACCCCTTCGTCACGGTCAACTCCTCTCTGCATCTCAAGTCCTCTGACGTACATGGTGAGCTACCGGGCAAGCTGGTAATAGTGGAAAAACCATTCACATGGAGGTAAGCAGTCAGCTGGTAGCGCTAAAAGTAACAGAAGCCTTTGGCGGCTTCATACCACCCCGTATAGTTCATTTTAAAGATGAAATGCAGTTAGATGCACCTCTGGCTTTATAATTTGCACTCTCCAGAAATATATACAGGGGTACGTATCCACAATGAGCCTGTATTGAAGAAAACTAGCAAAATTCTAGAAATTACAGATGTTATTTACTCTACTTCACATGTAATGTATATTTGTAGACTTTAAGATGCATTTCCTTAAATATAAAGGACTATTTCTGCTTGCCATTTGGATTTGTAATGGTACAATTAGTCAATTATGTGTGGAGTTTGCATGTTCTCCCTGCGTTCGCGTGGGTTTCTTCTGGGTGCCCCGGTTTTCCCCCCACAGAGATGGGTTGCGGCTGAAAGGGCATCCGCTGCGTAAAAACTTGCTGGATAAGTTGAGGGTTCATTCTGCTGTGGCGACCCCTGATTAATAAAGTAACTAAGCCAACAAGAAAATGAATGAATGAATGAGTTTACTTGCTTATTTGCTTTCCCAAAGCAGCTTCACAAAACATGCACAGCATTACATTACAGTCAAAACGTATAAGGAGTTGTGCATAGGGCAGGTAAATAAAGCATATTTCAATCCCAAATGAATAAATTCCCAAACATTTCCTGTTGCATTCTAACTTTTACTGCATCATCCACATCAACAGCACATCTGACTCAACCCTATAGACACCAATCAGCATCTTCTTAAAGCCCTGTATTTCCATCACTGGAGTGTATTACTGACTGCTGTGCTCTTGTTCTTTTCACCTTGCTTCTCTATTTGTCTCAGATTTCCTCTGTAAGGCTCAGGTAACAGCGAGATGGAGGTAAAATGAAGGAAAGCAGGAGAGGGTGAGGACAGGCGCTCTCCTTTGAAGTGTTAAACATCCTTGAATAATTTAGTGCAGGCTAAGTATAGCTCTAAAACAGCCATTTCCATCTCTGAAATAAACCCGCGCGCAGCATCTTGCTCATACGGCCTTTTTTTTCTCTGACTCCTTCTTCTAAACAATCCTAGTTTCATCCAATTCTGCTCGTGAACTGGTTTTTCTAGAAGCATCAGGGATCTTATGAGTCAGAGGATTCATATCACAGTAGAACAGCCTGCGTCTGTGAGACTTTCATACAGACAATTTACACTGAACCACTGTATACATCTGACTCCATCCTGACCACAAACTATTACTGGTATATATAGGGAATTGTTAAAATTATTGTCACCCTTTAAGTATGAAACAAACTAATTTAATGTACAAAAGAAGGAAAAGTATATCTAATGGTGAGTAAATTATGACAATATAATTTTGTGGAGAACTGTATATATACAGTGGGGGAAACACGTCACCATTTTTCTCAGAAAACATATTTTTAAAGGTGCCGTTGACTTAGTATACACAAAGAAAACAACACTAATTAAATTAAATTAAATTAAATTAAATTACAAATGAAGTTATGTGTAATAAAATGAATTGACACAGGAAAAAGTATTGAACACATGGAGAAAGGAAGGTGTAGAAAAGCAGTGAAAGCCCAGACAGCAGCTGAAATCTTTCAGTAGTTCTTCAGCAACCCTATGCCCTTACTCACTGTAAATGAATATTAGCTACATTAGCAGGTCCAAAACACAGTCAAGGAATCTCTCAAATGCTTTTTAGAGAAAGAAAATCGAGCTGTAGAATGGCCCAGCCAATCACCTGATGTAAATCCAATATAAAATACAAAATAAAGCTCAGATTTGATAGACGAGACCCACAAAACCAACAAGACTTTGACACTCTGTTGAGTGTACAATCACCACAAAAGCCTTTTCTATAAAGTATTATAAATTTAAGATATTTTCTAATGTTTTTATTGTTGTTTTAAGTGCAAATCAAATGTTGATACTGTCATGCATGTATTCTGGGACTGTGACATGATTAAGACATTCTGGAAAGAAATCCACAAATTACTTCAGAAGATTATTGCTAAATCTCTAGGTATTTATCTTCTAAATTGTAAAACTGCTTTACACCTTAGTCAAGGACTAGAATCTGTGGTACAGTTTTGTACGTATTTAGCAAGAAAAGTTATTCTGTTGTGGTCATCTCACAACATTCCTTCGGTCAATGTCTTTAGTCAATATTAGTCTGCATCATTTAGCCGGGAACCGGAAACACTCCTCGAAAGACATTTTTAACGGCATATGCGCTTATGTTAGTCTGTTTTTATTATTCCCAGGGTTATTTTTATTCAGTTTTTAAATTAATTTCAGTAATATTATTGACTAATATGAAAATATTTATCTGATTTATTTACAATATAGTTTGTAAAGTAATATCGTCTGTCTATTAGTAGATATATTATATGAGAGACTTGCTTTGTTTACTAAATAAAGTGGATCTAATTAGATTTGCATTGTAAACATTAAATACAAGTTAAAAATTTGTTACTTTTTATTTCATATATTGAGGTTTTAGCTATGATACTCCCAAATCATTCCAAATCACTCACAAAAAATCCGCAGATTTTTAACAACATTATCAGAGTTATCAAAGAAAGCAACAAATGTCCGCATACTCCATCAGGCCGTATTTATGACTTGCGTGAAAAATCTGATGATTTCAGGCATATCTGGAATTCTCTATGGGAGTTTTTAGAGAATTTATAATGAAAGACTTTTTTAAATTAAATCAATCAATCAATCAATCAATCAATCAATCAATCAATCAATCAATCAATCAATCAATCAATCAATCTATCTATCTATCTATCTATCTATCTATCTATCTATCTATCTATCTATCTATCTATCTATCTATCTATCTATCTATCTATCCATCCATCTATCCATCTATCTGTCTGTCTGTCTGTCTGTCTGTCTATCTATCTATCTATCTATCTATCTATCTATCTATCTATCTGTCTGTCTACGTATCTATCTATCTATCTTTATTATTTATTTATTTATTTATTTATTTATTTATTTATTCATTTATTTATTTATTTATTTATATTTGTTAATTTTACCCTTCACAAAAAAATTTAAATTACTAGCTGATGGACAATTGTATAATAGATGGCCATATTCTTGTATATGATGACATGAGACCACTGTTCTGTCATTGCAAATCTTTAAATAAATGTTTAAAAATAATAAATAAATAAATACGTTGCAGCAGTTCAGTATTTTCTCCTTGTGTCATTCTATTGTTATCACACATAAATCATTTTTCAGATTTTTTTTGTTTTGATAAATTTTTATGTTTGCATTGTTTGTGTTTTTACCAAAATCTGCTTTAATTCCATGTCAACAGCTGCTTCAGCTGATTATTCCCAGGAAAAATTAACATGACATGTTCAATACTTTCCCCCACTGTATGTTGGGTTCCACACAATTGATTTGTGTTGGTACAAAATGAAAGAATTAGGTTAACTTTTTAGTTTTTACAACCTGAAGTGGATTGAACATAAAACAATTAGGTTGTCCCCCTAAAATCTCCAGAATTGTGTTGTTTCAGCTCATTTTAAATGAGTAGTTTGAACTAAAAGCAAACATAATTTGTTTTTGAGTGTATGCAGCAGTTTTGGTGCCGCCACAATACTTTTCTCTCCTTCTTTACTCTTTCCCAGCGTCCTCTGCTCGCTCTGAAGTCTTACCTGCAGGTGTCCTCCTGAATGCAGAGGCCAATGAGCTGCTTCGGGATGCTGAAGGACAGTGTACACTCCGCCATCTGTTCCCGCACCAGCATCCATTTACTGTCCACCGTCTGAAACCGGTAGACCTTGCACACTGCATTCTGAAACACTAGCGGACAGAGAAACAAAGCCAGAGATTAAAGTTGGCATCAAATGGAACTTATGATAGTTTTTTCTATCCAACTGTAAAACTATATATGATAGCCATTGTCCGCCAAGACAGGTTGAGTGTTGGTTTGCACATGCTAAAGTCATGCTAAAAACACGCTAAAAATGCTAACAACATGCTAAAAATGCTAACAACATGCTAAAGACACGCTAAAAATGCTAACGACATGCTAAAGTCACGCTAAAAAGGCTAACAACATGATAAAGTCATGCTAAAAATGCTAACGACATGCTAAAATCACGCTATGCTAATTCCAAAGCACTTCAGTAACACTTTAGTTTAGGTCACAATATTGAAAAACCATTAACTAACATTAACTATCTTAATAAACCACTAACGAGCTGTTTATTAATAGTTAGTAAGGTAGAAGTTGGGTTTAGGTTTTGGGTAGGATTAAGGATGCAGAATAAGATACTACTACTTTATAAGTACTAACAAACAGATAATTTCTTAATAATAGGCAGGTAATAAGCCAGTGTTGCAACCGGTTCATTGTTTTTTTTTCTCGACACCTCAGTGCATCAGCTCTAAACCAGGATTGAAGTGGTTGTTCATATAAATTATAATGCACTATATGAACACATTATTGTAGTTGTTGTAACCTCCGTCTATGCAAATAAGGCAAGCTGGATGGACACATTTATGTATTTGGCTTATGATCTCCGTCTATGCAACCTATGGTGCAATGCTCTAACACAATGGATTTGCTGTGTTTTGATGCCGATGTAAATTTGCAAAGCTGTTAACATTAAAGGCACACAATATACAATATTGTTCATTGTACAATATTCAAAAACCACAAGAACAGTGTAACATATTTTGCTGACTTATGTACTTATTTAATCTCAAACGCTTTGAAGAATGTTCACATTCACAGAAATAAGCAATTTTAGCTAGTGAGATTGAGCCTGTGTTTAGTTCTTACATTTCCGTTTGGTTTTATAGAAAACAGGTGAACAGCAAAGATGCCTTAAAATGTTTTGTGTTTTATTAATGTATTTAATCTGATAAAACAGTGTTGTGTCTACTCGTGTGATCATGAGCAGAAAACTACAGTAGATGTGGTGGACAGTGGCATTATAAAAGTTTCTTTCAAAATATGGCAATGCTCTAAGAAGAGTGCCACCTTAAACAAAGACATGCTGATTTTTAAGTTAATAAGGTCAACACTTTCATATTATAGTGTCTCCAATTGGCTTAAATTTTTTTAACTGTGACCTCAGATTGAGCTCATCAACTGTGTATAAAAGTGCAACTATCTTTTGCTTTTAAGACTAATAGCCATTTTTAGTTCATTTGATCTCATCCCACTTCAAACTTTTTTGGTGTCCTATCACAAAAAAGGACCAGAGATTCTGCTCAAAATCTTCCTTAGTGTTCTCCTGAAGAAAAAAGGGACCTACATAGATGACCTGTGGGTGAGTAAATGAACAGGAAATTTGCAGTTTTGGGTGAACTAACCTTTTAACTGTTAATTTACAGGCCCTAGAAAATGTCTATGCACTGGTTTGGTTAAATGTGATCAAATCTGACACATGCATTCAGTTCAAGCACTCCAGCGCTGTAAAACACTTCAGTCTGCAACTAATGATTTAGAAGTTTTGAGCGATTTCCACATTAGATTGCTGTAAGTGCCACTGTCTGCCAAACTGTCAGTTTAATTTGCATGGTGACTGTAAGACATGGTCATTTCTCCACGTGTTTACGTGTGATCTTTTTGTTTTAGTATTATGAATAACACCTTTAAATAGTTGCCTTTTGTCAATATAGTTTAAGTCAAAGTTATTCGTCTGCTTCTGTGAATTTCTTTTTTTTTTTTCAAAATTTTTCCCTAATGATGTTTAACAGAGCAAGGAATTTTTCCTGTAAATTTTTTTCTTCTGGAGAAAATTTTGTTTGTTTTATTTTGGCTAGAATAAAAGCAGTTCTTAATTAAAACAATTTTAAGGTCAATATTATTAGCTCCCTTAGGGGCCGATTACACCGAACGTGCTTTTATGTTACAAAAACGCGAGGCACACCACTGCCTTTTTTTGTTCACAAGAACTGGATCAGCTGGGTATTGTCTACGAATGTTGCTGTTGATATTAATATAATTTTAATATTTAATAATATTGCAATATTCAAAATTTATGAAGTCCAGATAACAGCAACCACAAGTCTCTCCTCCATCTTCAGAAGTCTCCATTGTTGACTTGACAACATAAACACTGCAGGCACCTCAATGGAAACCCCACCACTGCTTTCATTTGATTAGAGGATGAAAAAGAGGAGACTGACGTAGCTCATTTTTTCCGCTCAGAGTTGACTTATTTTTAATAGCGAGCGCACAGCGCGCAATGGCAAAAACAGCGCAGCAGGCAGTTAAAAAGTGAGGTGCGCAGGGTGCATAAGCAGCGCGCAAAACACTTGCGGCCATTAGTAAATCATAAAAAAAAAAACGTCTCTCAATGCAGAAATTGCGTTCGATGTGATCGGCCCCTTAGGCAGTATTATTTTTTGATCGTCTACAGCAGTGGTTCCTAAAGTGGGGGTCAGGACCCCCTGGGGGGTCATAGCGGAGTGAGTGAGGGTCGTCTAGTGATTTGTAAAAACCAGACAAATTTTATTAAACTATTAGTAGTACCTCACTTTACCCATATCCTAAAAAAAGTGTAAAAAAAAAAATAAAATAAAAAATAAATCAACCTTTCTTTTTTTTTTTCTATCGGATTGCGCCCCTGGAGTGATTATAGATTATCTATTTAAATAGATTAACAAGACAGCAATAACATTATCTGCAGCAGCTCAACATTTTTTAAGCACTATGATAAGCTTTCTGACACCTTTTCGACACGCACATACATATTATAAATTTATAAATATTTAGAAAATTATAACACATTATAACAAATACACAGCACAACAGAATGTGGAGGATGATCTTCGAGTGGCGGTCTCTAAAATGACACCAATAACGTCCCTTGTTGTGCTCCACACATTGTGCCGTTCCTTCATATAAGTGCTTATCATGTTGAAATTAAACAAAATTATAAATTACTATTAAAAAATACATGGAATTGTCAATATGCTTGTGTTTATATAGGCCTATTGGTGTGTATATTTAGCATTAGTTTAACCACCTCTGAGGATAGTGGGGGTCGCGAGCCCCTGATATTGTTATTTTGGGAGTGATGGGCTGAAAAAGTTGGGAACCCCTGGTCAACAAAACAATCCACTGTTATACAATGACTTGCCTAATGAACCTAATGAACCTAGTTAAACCTTTAAATGTCACTTTAAGGTGAATACTAGTATCTTGAAAAATATCTAGTCTAATTTACTGTCATCATGACAAATATAAAATAAATCAGTTATTAGATATGAGTTATTAAAACTATTATGATTTGAAATGTGCTGAAAAATGTCTTTCCTCCGTAAATAGAAATTGGGGGGGGGAAATATACAGGCTAATAATTCTGACTTCAACTGTATCACACAAGGCAATTGGACCCTATTTATTCTGCTCTCTAGTGTCTGTCAGATGACAGAAGCAGCGCTTTATACGAGCCGCATGTTTACACTATATCATATAGCTTTTAAAGGGTGGCTTCTACTTTCCACTGCACTCCTGAAAGTGCTTAACGATCAGCTAACTGAAGTCCTGTGAAGAGAGACGGAGGGGAAAGCATTTGTAGATAGCCGTGAATGAGACGGCAGAACGTGTTTAATGCTCTTATCAGAAGTGAGGCGGCGGCGGCAGAACTTATTTCCTCTGCAGCATGAAATCTGGCTTCTCGCTCCACAAGCGATTCGACGGAGCAGACCGGACCTGAGTGGAAATCCGCAAGTGTCACCCGAGCACTTACTTGATGCTTTTCCTCATGCTAAATAGTGCCGCTTTCATCGTTTGTGATCGTTGTGGTTGAAGCATGCAAACAGACAGGGGCAAAAGAGTTTACTGTAACTCCAGTAAGAGTTTAAGGAATGGGTTTTAAAACATGATACGGGTACAGTTGAAGTCACCATTAATCATTAACCTCCTGTAAATGTTTTTTTCTTTTTCAAATATTTCCCAAATGAGGTTAAACAGAGCAAAGAATTTTGACAGTACTTTCTATAATATTTTTCTTCTGGAGAAAGTCTGATTTGTTTTATTTCAGCTAAAATAAAAGCTGTTTTTTAAACCATTATAAGGTTAATATTATTAGCCCCCTTAAGCTTTATATTTTTTCTATTGTCTACAGCAGTGATCCTCAACCACCGGGCCGCAGATCGGTACCAATCTGTGGAACAATTGGTACCGGGCCACATGAGAAATCATAGATTATTTCTGTAGAAAATATTCCCCCTGCAACTTGGTTTCTTCCACTCACCCCCGCCATCTCACGTGAAATGGACTATGCCAAAATCCACCACGGAGCAAGAAGAACGATAGAATATAGCTCAGTGGTGGTTGTTGATAGTTTAAAGTTATAAAACAGATATTATAGAGTCCAAATCAGCAGAGCATTTAAGGATTGTGCATATATGTGTGCGTGCATCTCTTAGTAAGTACCCGAAATCATTGCAATATGTATCTATATGAAGTTTCACATAATCATACTCATTAGGGCTGTGACATGCCAATGCATACATTTAATTCGACTATACGTTTGTATTACTGTTAATATGTTCGTCAGTTGAAATGTTTGGCACAGATGTTTTGTATTTGATGCATATAAACCTTGATTGAAGCATAATCAGACCGCGATAGTGCAACTAGCGCATGCGCACTGAGTTGTTCATGATTAACCTGGATGCACGAGCGCAACAGCTGTGTTCACGTGAAGCCCCGCCACACCGGTCTTGGTAAAATTGACAACCGTTGACCGGTCCGCGGTGATAAAAAGGTTGGGGAGCACTGATCTACAGAACAAACCCCTGTTATACAATGACTTGCCTAATTAACCTAGTTAAGC